GTCAGAGCCGAATATCAACGTTAGCTTCGACTCTACCGTCGCCCTTCTCACCGAGCCCGAAACGGGGCGGCGGAGGACGGCGAACGACAGCAACCTCGTGCGGTTCCCGTTTGAGTGGTTTTCTCTCTGGATGCGTGGTCCTTCCTTGGACGTTGGGATGGAGATGGGCTGGAGACGGCCAGCTCCTTCAATGGAGGCGCACCTATGGAACATGCGGGCGTGGGGCACAGGCGTGGAGGTATGGAGACACTTGGGGGAGCTAAGCTAGAACGCGTAGTAGTAGGGGTGGTGGTAGGTGCGTCGAGAAGGGCCCTCTGACGGCCTTTGGTCTTGGTAGCTCAATGCTTAGCCGCGGATAAGTTCTCGAGGCTGATGGCACATGAATCTGTCTTGGTTTCGGAGGATGATGTCGACGTATGGGGTAATTCGCTGGGATCTGTCTTCATGTCAATGAGCCCGAGCATCGTGTCCAGGATGAGAGTGGGGGCCAGGGCAGTCATGATGGTGTCTGAATTCCTCATGCGTTGTGGTAACCAGGGTCCAGCTCAAGATGTTTGGGGATGTCACCACCATCGAGCCAGCCAGGTGATCTCTTGCCAGCGACCATCCTAGGGCGTTCTAGAGCCAGGCACCGAGGCATTGGGGACAAGGTGAGGACGACGTGAGATGAAGGTCGGTGCTGGGTGGCAACGGTAAATGGACGGGCGGGTGAAGTAAAAATAGCGCGGATGCGGGCAGTGGACAGGAACGATAATGACGGCAGAAGTTCTGTCTCTAGGTTGTCGGTCGACACAGATTCAGAGGCGCACTCATGCAAGCACATCCCGCTTCGGCCTATCGGAGCTGCAGGCGCCGGTGAGGCTGGCCGCAGAGCACCAGCCGGTGAGGGCACCCGGTCACAGCTATCTCTCGCTGTGGGTGTCAAGAGCTCGACAAAGACAAAGAGGGTGACAAGAGCATCATGAGAGCAACGGCGATTTCGGAGCTTTAACGATTGATGAGTAAACGGCATGGATCCGCGACCCGAGAGTTTGAAAAGGCGGAAAGGGAGCAGATAGGACAGCACATCTTCGCTTGCGGAACAAGAGAGATAATAACAACGTGATGAATAAAGCCGTGTCCGCTGCGAGCCTGTGACGTTGAGTGAGATTTGGGGCTTGAAAGTCTGTGCTCGGTCTTGCACCTCCGGGCAACATAGAGCGACCTGGGCGAGATGCTGGACAGCTGCCCTGTACGGAACGTTGACGGGTCCCTTGCACAGATCCCCTTGGGGGAGCATCAAGTGCCATGGGCAGGCCATGCGGCGAGCAGGGACCAGGTCTCGGTCAACCCGTGGTGCTGGTCACACACAGACTGCCCTACCTCACACTCATCTCATCCATGACAAAACAGACAGGCTTCAAGGCACAGGTACATATGTACTTACATTGCAGAATCTGGAGTACAGCAGGCGTGCAACGGGGAGACGGACGTCAACCGGCAAAGTGCAATTGTTCATGGCTCCCTCCCCAGGCCTGTTTGCTGACAAGCCAGGGTGCTCTGTAGCCGAAAGGTTTCTTGAGATGAGCCTCCAACGGCAGGCATATGGCGACCTTTCGGAGGAATTATGTGACTCGGCCAGACCGGTACGGTATTCGATAGTCGAAAGAGGGTTGTATTCGGTCGGGAGTGAAAGATGGAATCCCGTGCCGGGTCATGGCAACCCCTACCGAGATCCTGACCTTGGAAGAGCCCCCGATATCGCCTCGTCTGACTGCTTTACCTGGGCTGCTGCCGTGTGCCAATGGCCGCCGTCCGGTTGATATCGACATATCTGGAGTTGGGCTTGGAACCGCTTCTTGGAGACCCCTCATTGAGATATGGATCCAGTGTCCTCGGAGGAGGTCCGTTGACGATTGACTGCAAGTCAAAGTGGGACGGGTTGAGGAGACGAACAAGCGGTGCAAGTCTAAGAGAGAGGAAAAAGAAAGCAAACCCGAGGAAAGTCCATGGAGGCAGTTCAAGTGATGTGCAGAGCTGGAGCTGGAGCTGGAGCCAGAGGAACACCATCAGCGGCAGGTTTGGTAGGTGCGTTGCAGAGCTAAAGTAGAAAGATTAAGCCCACCTGCCCACACTCTAAAGTTGAGGATTGCCGCCAGAGCCGCCATCGCGGCGCCACCTGGTGCGACCCCTGCGGGAAGCGTATTGGACTGGAAAGGTCCTAGCCTGGAGACGCGAGACTGGATGTTCTTTTTCAAAGGGAAGAAAAATAAAGACCAGGTTCTGCGACTGGTGTCTCTGACTGAATGGATACCCCAATGTGCAGGTGCAGGCGCAGGCAGGCGCAGGCCGTTGGTGCGGTACAGCCCGCCCGTGCTGTATTACAGCGAGAAGCGGCGTCGCTGAGAAATCTCACAGTGATACGTACTGTACTCGGCCGGGATGCTGTAGCCGGGTCTAGCCTAAATCGTCTCACCTTGGAGGACCCCCATTTTCATCCCCATCTTTCCATTCATCCATTCATCCATCCCAGGACTTCGGCGGTCTCTTGTCGGTATTTTCTGGCCCATCGCCCTGGGTCTAATCCTTTCCGAACCAATCGTCTCCCTGTGAATTTACCACCTGGGCAGATGCCATCACCGACTGATACGGAATACCACTCTCCTTGACGTCCAATCTTGGGACCAAACACGGTACGGTCAACTTGGCATCTCCCGTCGGTATTCCTCCTCCCCGGCACCGTGAGCCCGGCCGGACAGCCTTGACCTCGACTGACCTTGAGCCCACCTGAGAGTCCAGTGATCACTACAGCCAGCAGCCCAGGCCACACTCAGGTCCCCCCGCCGTGGCTCGTTTCTACCCCAAAGTTGATTTGATTCCCGGGCCGGTCCCTTATTCTCGGCTGCAAGTACCACCTCCATACAATTGCCGTGTGCTGGTACTTGGGCCTAGGCCTCCGGGGAAGTCCATTTCCCCCTCTGCTCTGACACTGTCACCGCATGCACTGGGCTCCATCCTCTCCGCCGCCCAGTGCCCAGGTTCCGCCCACCCCCTTCCCACTCGCTCGCCCTACTCCTCCCCCTAGGTATTCTCATCCCACGCCCTTCCACCTCCGTTATCACACGCCACTCCCAACTGCTAGGTCGTCTTCGCGAAGACGGGACTCTCTCGGTCTCTTTCCATGAACCTCTCTCTTCCTTCTCTTTACCAACCCATTTCCTCGGCCAACTCAGCGGACTGACCTCGAGCTGCTTTCCTCTCACCGTTGCTCTCCTCACTCACCTTGACGAGTTGTCAAAGTCTACCTGCAACAGAGACGTCTGCATATCTATACAACCCGAGTAAGCTGCCAGTTATACAACCACACGGAGCCCGGTCCTCTCGTATATACGACTACCATCTCCGCCTGCTCGCTGTCTTGTCCCGACTCCGGGGCTCCCTCCAATTACCACGCACCTAACACGCCCGAAAACCGAATCCGCGCGCCTCTTCTGCGACCGACCCGGGGACGGAATTGTCATCCACCTCCTCCACTGAGTCGCCATCGTGCGTTGCGCGCCCACCCGAGGAGGCTGCAACTTGTTCGCCTTGCTTGCTTGAGCTGCCCGCCCCCCGGCTTTGCCATTACTGTTCCAATTACCAATTCTACTGCTGCCCTGGGCTACGCTGCGTTCAATTGAACTGCCCGCCGCCCGACAAGCCCCCAATTACACAACATCTCCATTCCTGTCCTCGCGCCCCAGGTTGTTCTGCCTTGCCGTCGCAAGTCATCCAGCCTTCCTGCCTTACCTATCCACCAATAAGCCCCTCCTTGTTTAACCTCGACGCTCACCACCCGCTCTGTCCTCTTCTTTCATACTACCTCGCATCCGAGACGGGTCCCTATATCCTGCAGAACAGTGCAGCAGTACCCTGTCCCGCCCGCGATCCTCTTTACTCGACTTGGACGCGCCTCTTGGTGGGGTCAAATCTATTTCAACGCACACTTTAACGCATCGCTCACGGCCTACCTGCGCCGTACGCTTGCGCCTGCGCCTACAATTCGCACACCCGCGCGCAACAAACCTAACGGCTACGACCTATCACGGCTTCGGCTTTAGCCAATTCATCGATTGGCACGGTATTTTGACGCCTGCGAGCCGCCTCCCGCCCGCTCGACTCTTCTTCCTTCCCCTCAGCTTCTTCCCCTCCGAGATAATGGGCGTTTGATTTCTCAACGCGCCTGTCCTATCTCCCTGCACTGTTAGCCATGAATACCGTCGCCCATAGCCTGGCCGAGGCTCCTCCCCCAGCTTCCTCCGTCGCGCCCATCAACCAACACCAGCATCAGCAACCGCAGCCTCCGCCATCACCGTCGCCCTCGCAGCCTACCTCCGTCTCCGAGACCGCTCCAACTCCCGTGTTGCCGCCCATCTCCTCGCCGTCTGCTCCTCCCGTTTCGCTGCCTGCTGCTCTCGCCGCTGCCGCCGCCGCTTCTGCGCCCTCTCACTGCCTCCCGCAAAACCCCGATGAGCTTCCCCCGCTCCGCCAGCCGTCGCCCACCTCGCCCGCGCATTATACGTTTGAGCAGCATCAGCAGCAGCACTCTCACCACCACCTCCACCCAGTCACCCCGCCTCTGAGAAAGGACACATGCTCCTCCATCTCGACGCAGGCCACTTCCGCCACCTTGGCCTCCACCGAGACCAACAACACATCGTACAGTGCCGACACCTCTCCTAACCTGCACCAGTCTATTTTCTCTGTAAAGGATGGCTCCGACGTCTCTAACAACCGCCGCACGAGCAGGAGACGGACCGGGCCCCTTTCCCAGCAGTCTAGAGAGCGCGCCGCACTCATCAGAAAGCTCGGTGCTTGCAATGATTGCCGGAGGCGCAGAGTTGCTGTAAGTCATTGCCTGCCCTGCCAGATGCGCACTTGCGCTTGACTGAACCCTTGTCATTCTCTCTCTCGTGTCAATTCTTGACTTACATGCCAACACTGGCTTCCTCTTAATATAGTGCCACCCCAGTCACCACAACATGACATGGGAGGATGTAGTCTCCAAGTTTCACCGATCCCACAGCCCGACAATCCAGGACATCGCGCCCTCCCTCGCCGCTGCTGGCCGGCCATTGAGCCCCGCCCCCGCCGTCGCCAACGTCCAGTCCCTGTTCGCGCACGACCCTCAAGAGATGGATATTGATTCGAACCCTCCTTCTTCTCATCAACCCGGCCGGCCTCCGTTGAGTGATGCTAGAATCCGCACTCCGCTGCCGTCGGGTCCTCGCCTTGAGAAGTCGCTGTCGTTGCCAGGTATCGAGAGCTTTAAGAACGACCTTCAGACTAACGTGGGGCGCATGCTCTCCACCCCAAGCCGAGACCGGTACACCTCGGTTCAGGTCCTCTTTTTGTTCTGGCAGGACGACGAGGATGTGTCTACAATCCACTCGGCTGTTCGGGAGCTTGGTGAGGTCTTTGACAAGTACTACCATTATGGTTTCCAGGTACAGACAATACCCTCGTCGTCTGACGGCTGCAAGAGCTCCTGGAGGTGGCTTTCGCGACAGCTCAACGAGTTTGCCGAGGACCGTGACGAGCGCGATGTCTTGAAGATTGTCTATTATGCCGGACATACATATCTAGACGGCAATCGTGAGATGGTCTTGGCGAGGTATGGATATCACAAGCAATCGTTTCAAGTTGGTGCTAACATGAGTGTAGTTCGAGGGACCCAGAACGGGCTTCGACCATCCGATGGGGCGGAATCCAGCAGACCCTAGAGGAGGCTCGAGCCGATACTCTCATCATCATGGATGCAGCGTACTACCCGTCATCTCGTATGGTTCGACAGCAAGGTGTCCTGGAGCTACTGGCAGCGTCGGTGTCGGAGGAGCACTTCTATAGCCTCGATCGATGCGCCTTCACACGGGCTCTGGCCGAGCAACTTCGAGTCAGAGCAGCACGATTGAGTCCTCTTTCGGCCGCTGAGCTGCACGCAAACCTGTTCTCCCACTATGCCAAGATGGTGCAGGACAAGAACCCAGAGCAAGAGGTGGTAACCAGCTTCCCCTCGCCACTGCACATGATGATGTCGGGTAACTCGAGACTTCCGTCCATCTTCTTGTCGCCGGTATACCAAAACAGCCCGATGCGCAGCAGCTTCTCGTCATACGAGAATAGTCCTCAATTGCATCTGTCGATTCGTCTGGACGACGACAATGTCAACCTCGAGAGCTGGAACGAGTGGCTGCGGCTGATGCCCGAGGGAATCAAGGACATCAAGGTTGAAGGCCCCTTTCGAGCTACCTTTAGATGAGGAGCTGAGGGTTCTGGGATAATACCCTTCACATACGTTCAACGGCTCAAACCATACCATCAGTCAGCTACCGGTGCTCCTCTAGAAATAGAGGCGGCCGAATCCTCTCGAAACAGAGGATTGCTGTTTGGTTTACCCTGAAAATGGGAAGAAGCCTCGACCATGATGTCGGATGCTGTTGATGACCAGCTCCAGGACAGGACACTATGAACGGTGGTCCTGGGGACGGCTCTCTCAAAGACTTTGCAGCAAGCACGCACTCCCCTCTTGTTACGCTCGCATTGTTTTTTTTACCACACTATGATTTGATCTGCAACATGTAATGACGAGTCCATGAAATGAAAGCGCATGGAGGCTTATGGACCGGGCAAAAAGCAAAAGGGGCGGGGGGGGTGACGGACCCGGCAGGATATGGAACTGTGCCGGGGTTATTTGACGGACCGGACCAGGCCGAACAACGGACGGCCGGACGGAGAGACAGAGGGATTGGCGAAAAGGCGAAAAGAGGGCCAAAAGGCAGGACAATGAAGAACATGGCTTGGGTTTGTTGGGTTTAATCTGATTTGGTTGGGTCATAATGGCATATAGGCATAGGCATACATGACATCTTTGATTGTTTGTGTTCGGTTATCAAAAAGTTTCACTCCACCTCTCTCTGTTTTCTGACCCTTGGCTGCTTGACATGGATGGACTCGGGCACGGACGGACAGCCTCGCCTGCCCTCGGGCACCTGCAGGGAATGACGAGGGCCAGCCCGACATGTGAAAAGGGCGGGCTGGGTTTAGATGAAGGTCCAATGATGACGAAATAGTCAACGATTCGCAATGCCAGCCATCCTTTGCACAGGGTTGTTGTTGAGGAGCAGGAGAGGAGGAGACCGGGGCTATGAGTCGGGTGATGTAGCGGTGCTAGCTAGATGTGACTGTTGATGGAGCGGGACCGTGGGGGATTGATTTTGATTGTCCAAGGATTCTTTCAGGGAGGGGACAAGGCTGCGAGGTGGTAATTCGGTTATCGTATGTTTGCAATCGAGGGTCGAGGAGAGGAGGGGTTTGAGAGAAGGTCAAAGAAGCTGGTGGTCCCCCTCCATCATGACTCTTACTACGTAGTACCATGGGTGGTGGTGTCGAGAAAAGCTCTGCTGTCTACGCGGCAGACGGTGACATGTCGAACAGCAAAAACCCCCCCACCAGGGACCGCAACAGATGCATTGATATGGACAAGTCGAACAATTCAGACCCAAAAGGTCCAAACTAAGGCCGTGAATCCCGCTTGGCATCAATCCAATGTTGCCTTACCGAGCACGGCCCAGCCATTCATTTTATCACCGAGGTGACCGCCCGAGAAATTCATCACCCAAGGAGAGGCCTGATACGATTTTTTGGACGGGACCTGGGCTAGCTAGCCGCCATTGATCCATATCCATAAGTTAATCCCTCCAAGGCCAGCACACAAGGGCTAGCAGGCGGGCAGCCCACCACACCCGACCTCATACCTGACCTAACGCTACCTACCCGCCGCCGCCTCCACTGCACCACCAACCACAAGGTACCTACCTAAAGCTACGTAGGTAGCCGCCCTCCATCCCATCCATTGAGTGAAAAAAAAAAAGAAAGGCTTCCCGTCTGCAGCAGCCCAACCTAACCTCTCACCTCTTGCAAATTCCTAAGCCTCTCATAGCTTTTTCCTCTTCCTCTCTTCTTTCCTTTCGTATTCATTCTCCTCCCCTCATCATCATACCCCCACGACCCATAATCAAACTCTGATCGACATGGGCGGTGTCATATCTTCTTTCTCAGGCAGTAGCGGTGAAGACTCCATCGCCGCGCGACAAGCGCTCGAGAAGAAGCTCGCCGACCGGGAAGAGACCATCTCTGTCCTCGAGGAGGACCTCAGCAAGAAGGAGAAGGAGTGCACAACAGTTTCTCAGGATGTCGAAGAACTGAGGAAAAAGATCAAGGAGCTCGAGGCTCAGTCCTCGTCGGCTCTTGACGAGACCCACGCTCGCATCGCCATCCTGCAGGACGAGCTCAAGAAGGGCGGTGACACATCTTCCGAGCAGCTTCGCAACACCAAGGAGGCCGCCTCCAAGAGCGCCCAGGACCTCGACGCCGCCAAGGCCGAGCTGGTTGCCCTCGAGGACAAGCTCAATACTGTGGAGCAGGAGAAGCAGTCCATCGTCGACCAGCTCGCCGCTCTCAAGGCCGAGCTCGCCGAGGTCAAGGAGGCCCGCGAGGCCCTCGAGTCTGCCCTCAACAAGGAGATTTCCACCCTTAAGGCTCAGATCACCGAGGCTGAGGAGAAGAACCAGACCCTGCAGCAGGCCCACAGCAAGCTTGAGGGTGACCTCACCGCCGCCTCCAGTGCTGCCGACGAGGGCAAGAAGGCCCTGACAGGTACCGAGGAGAAGTACACCACCCTTCAACAGACTCACGACAAGCTCGAGACCGACCTGGCTGCCGCTGTCTCCGCTCTGGATGAGCAGAAGAAGGCCCTGGCCGGATCCGAGGAGAAGTACACCACCCTGCAGCAGTCTCTCGACAAGCTCAAGGAGGAGTCCGACGCTCAGCTTTCCTCTGCCAAGACCGACCTGGCTCAGGCTGAGGAAAAGACTGCTGCCCTTCAGCAGACGCACGACAAACTCAAGACAGATTCCGAGAGTGAGCTCTCATCACTCAAGGCCCAGCTGGCTGAGCTTTCCGAGCTCCAGACCAAGCACGCCGCCCTCGAGCAGACTAACCAGGCCCTGGAGAAGGAGCTGGCCGAGCTCAAGGAGAAGGTTGCTTCCCTGGAGAAGAATAACGAGGCACTGAAGAGCGACTCCTCTGCCGGCCTGGTGGCTGCCCAGAAGGAGGCTGCCGAGTGGCAGGAGAAGCACAGTGCCCTGCAGACCACCCACGACGGTCTCTCCAGCGATCTTGAGGCTGTCAAGAAGCAGCTCGCTGACTCCGAGGAGGCCCAGAAGAAGTCCAGCGAGGAGCAAGCCGCTCTTGAGAAGAAGCTCGAGGAGCAGGAGGCTAAGCTGAACGACGTCGAGAAGCAAGCGGAGGAGGCCAAGGCCAATGCTACAAAGGTTGAGGAGGACCTCAAGGCCTCCCAGGCTGTAAGCAATCTCTCTTGACAACTTCACTTACAGAGGCTAATGCGTAAATAGGAGAAGGAAGCCCTCCAGGCCAAGATTGCTGGCCTCGAGTCTGACTCTCAAACTTCCAAGGAGTCCGAGTCCGGCCTCAAGACCAAGCTTGAGGAGGCCGAGGCTAAGGTTACTAGCCTTGAGGCTGACGCCGCCAAGGCCAAGGAGACTGAATCTGAGCTCAAGGCCCAGGTCGAGGCAGCCCAAGCCAAGGTCACCAGCCTCGAGGCTGAGGTCCAACAAGCTAAGGATGCTGAGGCCGCCTTGAAGACCAAGGTCGAGGAAGCTGAGGCCAAGGCCGCCAGCCTCGAGTCGGAGCTGCAGAAGGCCAAGGATGCCGAAGCTGAGCTTGAGACTAAGGTTGAGGAGGCCGAGGCCAAGATCGCCACTCTGGAAGCGGATGCGCAAAAGTCGACCGACGCCGAGTCCGGCTTGAAGACGAAGCTCGAGGAGGCCCAGGCCACCGAGGCTGATCTGAAGAGCAAGCTTGAGGAGGCTCAGGCTGGCCAGACTAGCGCTCAGACCGAGAAGGAGGAGGCTCTTGAGAAGGTCAAGGCTGCCGAAGCTGAGAAGACGGCTGCCATCGAGAAGGCCGAGGCCGCGGAGAAGGAGAAGGCTGATGCTATCGCCAAGGTTGAGGCTTCTGAAAAGGAGGCTTCCGAGGCTACCGGCAAGGTCGAGGCCGCTGAGAAGCAGGCTTCTGAGGCTGCCGAGAAGGCTGAAGCCGCCGAGAAGGAGAAGGCCGAGGCTGCTGCTAAGGCTGAGGCTTCTGCTAAGGAGGCTGCTGATGCCGCCGCCAAGGTTGAGGCCGCCGAAAAGGAGGCCGCTGAGGCCAAGGAGAAGGTCGAGGCTGCCGAGAAGGAGAAGGCTGATGCCGTTGCCAAGGTAGAGGCTGCTGAGAAGCAGGCCTCCGAGGCGACGGAGAAGGCTGAAGCTCTGGAGAAGGAGAAGGCCGACGCTCTCGCCAAGGCTGAGGCTTCCGAGAAGGAGGCTGCTGAAGCGGCAGAGAAGGTCAAGGCTCTGGAGGCTGAGAAGACCTCTGCGGACGAGAAGGCCACTGCCCTCGAGAAGGAAAAGACTGATGCCGAGGAGAAGACCAAGGCTGCTCAGTCTGCCTTCACCAGCGCCCTTGAGAAGGTCAAGGCCATCCAGGCTGAGAAGAAGGAGGCTGTGGAGAAGAGCGAGGCGTCCGCTAAGGAGACTGCCGATGCTCTCGAGAAGATCAAGGCATTGGAGGCGGAGCTCACGGAGCTCAAGGCAAAGCAGACCAACGGAACTGCCGAGGCATGAGCCAAGGCTACGTGACGTCGGTGATGTGAAGTGATGGACGGATGGACGAGATGCCCCCTGACGAATCTCTTGGTGAAGAAGAGAAGAAAAAGTTTATATGATCGATGTATGACGCTGGATGAACTGAAATGTCTGTCTAATTCATATCACGGGAAACGAAGGAGTGGACACATGCGTCTTTGATGAACTCGATACCCTTACATTAGTTTTTAGAGCGTAATTTAGATGAGCGTCTATGCCACTCTTTTACCTGCCATTTGTCTATTGTCCTATCTCTATACTGTCCTGTCTCTATTGTGTTGCAATGACCAAGTTGAAGCCATCACCATTAAAGTTATACCATTGTCGATATACTGTACTCAATATATAAGACTGGTATTATCACTAAACAGTTAAAGAGTCCAGAATAGGCAATGGCCGAGACTCGAGATGGTGATGCTAGGGATCAATTAATTGGCTGCTTACGGTTTCAATGCTCGCTAAGCCACCTCATCGCATCCTTCCTCGTGTTCTAGGCAAGCCTGAGCAGGGATCACATCACAGCCATCTTTTCAGCTCAGGGCTTTAACATGATCTCATGTCGACCAACTCATCCATTCCTTGATAATTTCTTTCCAACTTGACGATATCCTTACAACTTCAGACTCTCGTGTCATGGCGGCCATGTCCTCGCTACGGACTTTAGGCGCCATCTTCTACCTCGCCGTCTTCGCGGCCGGATCAAACCCCTCTTTCAACCTCGCCGACGGCCTCGTTGACGGACAAGCCCACAAAATCGGCGACGATGTATGCCGCGATGCCTTCAGCGCCGATGTCGCGTGTGGGCCAGAGCTGGGCGAGTTTATGAAAACCCGCTCCATGTACAGACAAGGAAGCCGTCTACCCACTGATGACGACCTGGACCCTTTCTGCACCGACTCGTGTTATGTGAGCCTGCTCGAGTATCGGCAGTCCGTGAGGAGCAACTGCGGGGATGCCGTGTACAAGGAGCCTGGCGCCGGACGGCCCTGGAAGCCGTATCATCGCGCCGAGTTGGCTCTCTTTGCGTACAAGCGCAGATGTCTCAAGAACCCGTCAGTTGAACACATATTTCAGTCATTCCATTCTTTGACTGACACATTTTCTAGTGATGGCCAATACTGCAACGCCTTGGGGGAGAAGAACCTTCCCCGCGTCTTGACTGACCTGCGATGCGACGGGTGCTGGTCTAGGATGCTCCATCTCGAGGCTACATGCCCCCTCAACCCGAGAGCTTCAGAAAGGGCAACTCAACATCATGCCTTTCAACGTTCATATTGTCCACCCCAAGGAAACACGTTTAGGTCCGTCCCTCCTCTCTTGTATTGGACGAAACACTAACAAGAAACAGAGTGACCGACTGCTGGCGCGGAGGAGGAGACTGCACATGCAAGAAGCTCATCCACGTCAAACCAAAAGACACCTGGCTCAGCCTATCCCTAGAGCACGGCGTCACGACCCGCGACCTGAGCAGGAACAACGGCCTCGAATTTGTCCCCGGGAACCTGCACCGCTTCGGCCTGCTCTGCATCCCCAGCCCGTGCCGCCTCCACGCCATAGAGATGGGTGACACGTGTGACACGATCGCCGCGGCTGCGGGCGTTGAGAGGGGCGAGCTGGTGGATTGGAACCCTTATATTGAGTCTAGGTGTGACAATCTCTCTTTCAGGGAGGGGGAGACGATTTGTGTTTCGGAGCGGTTTGTTGAGGGTAGGGATGATGAGGAGGCGAGGAGGAAGAAGGGTGCTCATGGTGATTCTCCATTTGATGTTGATCCGGATCAGGACGTCTTGGTGCCGGATGATCTATGATTGCAACAGACTGGAAGGCGTGGATTATTGGGCATCTCTTGCTGCTGGACAGGAAGTGAAGGAGTTGCCTGACTGCTCAGAGGCTGCGACAGAGGTGCTCTATGACACCATCCGTCGTCGGTCAGTTTTTCTTGAAACACTGGAGCTGAGATATTCTCCCGAGGCGACAAAGGGGTCATCGGCTCTTCTTAGGTAGTCACTACAGTTGTATCATATACTTTGTTTTATCAGTTATCAAATGAGAAACGCTGAACAAAACATCCAGTATGCCAACGTATCCAAATCCATCCTACACTACACTTTGTCCAACACACCATCAACAGACTCAAAACTTAACCCCTCCAAAGGTGTATGTCAATCATAACACAATGAATCTTCCCTGACACTCAATAATCACATTGAATGCAAGAACGTGTCAACTCTACAGGCTCGGGCTCTTCCTCGCTTTGTCGTACGGGCTATGCAATATTGACACTGACGACGTATGCATGCTCGTTCAAGCACAACACTACGTAGGTCCTCAAGTGAGACAGCTATTCCGTGATACAGCCACACGTCAATCTATCCGATCGCCATTCCTTGGTGTTGTGTCGTCATGGCAAAACTCGCAAGACGGGTTCCGAAGGAGATCTATCATGTTTCTAGTAATCTGTTAAGTATTAGTTATGACGCTTCAAGCGGAGAGGTATATAGACGAGAACCTCTCCCCATGTCCTCTCTTATCGAGTTTCTGTCAATGACATACTCACATCATGACTGTCACAAACACGACCATTAAGCTGCCCACGGTAGTTCTAGACACTACGCTGACTGATCTATACCGTCAATCTGGGAGCCCATGTGCCGGCAAGCGTATCGGCCAAGTCCTGGGTACCTTTAGCGCGACTCTAACACTCGGCCCCAAGGTGACTCCCAACCGCAAATACGTCTATCAAGACAGCCCCTTCACTAGCAGCCATGACATGACCCCCGCCGACGACGCCATAACGAGCATCAAGTATCTCTCCCTCCTAAATCAGCGAGATGCTTTCATGTGCGGCACGTCGCCTGCCATATTCTTCCATATGGGATCCTCACCACAGCGCAAGAGGCATGACCAGAAGCAAGTTGTCAAGACGCTAGCCACACTATCGGATGCACAGCGACCTCCCCTCGTCTTCTGCGATGGACCCGAGTACATTCCCATCAAGGAAGCAAATATCGACGTTGTAGCCTGCAAGGCTATTAGCGACTACCTTGAGGGGTACGAAAACGTCGTGCCGCTCGAGACGCATTGGTTTCTCAACACGAAGCGCGCCCTCGCCGAGTCTGGTCTCCCGACACCAAGGAGCGTGGCTGTCACTGTTGAAGGCTTCCCCATAAATTCCAAGTCATGCTGTGCCCTCTGCATCGAGAACTGTCTGGAGGGCTTCGTCATACCTAGCGGCTGCGTGGGGGCCCGTGGGACGTGGTTAAGGGAGCAGAGTTCGAGGTTGTACCAGGCCATCGAGTCGTACCCGCTGCCATTCGTGCTCAAGAACCAAATGACGTTTGGAGGAGCGGGTACGTTTATCGTGAGAACCGAAAAGGATCGTCAAGGAATCACCAACGACTTCGGAAAGGGATTTCTTAGTCGCCTGCTTTCGTCTGTCAATGAGACCAACTCACACCTCGAGCCAGCAACCCTCATCTTCTCGGACCTCATCCAAGACCCAATCGGCGACTACGGCATAACCTTTTTCGTCAACGAAAAAGGACGTCGACCCATCTTTCTCGGTGTCTCGGAGCAGATCATCGAGGGTGACACAGCATGGGTCGGCAGCATTATCGACTACAGTCAGCAGAACGAGCTCCGTCTCAAGTTCTCCTCGCTGGTGGTTCAGATCTCGGAATGGCTACAGTCGTACGGCTACGTCGGACCTGCGGGCGCAGATGTTCTCGAGGATGCCGATGGGAGTCTCTATGTTGTTGACCTCAATGTGCGGACGACGGGGTCGTGTTCTCTGCCGCTGCTGAGGAATCACTTTACGAGCAGAGGTCTTGATTGTGCTTCTTCATTCGCTGTTGACGTGGAGAAGCGCAGAGATGAGTTTATTAGCATGTTTTCAAGTGAGTTGCAGGAAGGTCGCATGTGCATTCTCAGCTGGTACGAAGATGAGATGTCAGGATGCAGTCTGGGTCACTTGGTAGTAGGTGCACAAGACGAGGTGAGCTTAAAACAGCTGACAGATCGAGTGAGGGAGACATGCGGGCATGTGACATTCTAAGCAACGGACATGGGGAATTTCAACAATGGCTTTGCTATTTACGGTAAATGCAAGTTTGACGATAGTTTGGTTTTGAGTGGAGAGGAGGTTGGTAATGCTGACAAGGGTCACGGTTAAACTGCCGAAAGCGTTGGAGGAGGAGGGGAAGCTTTTAGTTGGAGGCGGCCGACCCTTGGGGTTTAAGCTAATCAAGCATAAGTTGGTCTGAACCCAATTCGCCTTCATTGTTTTTGTGATGAATTGAGCATCTTGAAGTAGACAGTTATACCTATGAAGTGAGAGCGAGAGTGAGTATAAGCTGTGAAACCCCCATATACAGGCCGTAGTTACACAAGAGAGCATCACCACCAAACTAGACGATCCAACCTGCATGTGTAATCCCCTGCATGGGTTGGTAATGGCCCTGTCAGCCACATCAACCACCTAAACTAGTCTCAGCTGAAAGACAAAAAGGTAAAAATGCAAGACAAGCTCCAATGAGAAGCAGGCGGCACAAAAAGCTCCCTCTTCCTCCTCACCCTGTCTCTCCCTTTGCATCATCGCAATCGCTTCAAGATGAATTGCAACGAGCTTCAGGGTCACGCCAAAGCTGACTGCTTCGTCGTCAAGAGGCCTAGGGCGTTACAATGGTTCTACAAGGGAGAACTACAAAAGACATCTGAGGAGGAGCGTCAGGCTGGGCGCTTTGAGCTCTTCCTCGATCTTCTCTGTGAGTATCACCAACATCGACCTTCAACAACAAAGACTAACTCACCGTAGACGTCGCGATTGTCGCCAACTTTAGCGATGAACTAGCAGAACATCCAGACGGCGCTCACCTCGCCAAGTACATCCTCATCTTCGCCCCGGCGTGGCACATCTGGGCCGACCTCCGCGAGATCATGAACTCGTACTACACCGACGACCTGCTTCAGCGCCTCATCATCCTCTGGGTAATGGCTCTTCTAGTCCTCTACGCCAACAATGCCAATTTCGCCGACGAGGACATCTCGGCCATGCGCACCACCGTCGGCGCCTACCTAGTCGCTCGATTCACCACCCTGACCGTCTTCGTCCTCACTTCCATTGCTGCCTATCAGCACCGTACCCAGGCTCGTATCATGGCTGGGTTCATGTTTGTCGGTCTGCTCATCACCATTCCTCTCTTCTTTGAGAATATCAGCATCCACGCCAAGGCTGCCATTGTTGCAGTGTCCATCTTTTACCAAGAGGCGACTTGGGCTCTCACATTGAGTCCTTGGATTAAGCGCAAGCTGAACCTGACCTACAGCACCGCCGTCGATATTGCCCATGAGATTGATCGTATGGGTGCCTTTTTCATTATTATCCTTGGAGAGTTTGTGTACAGCATCATCGTGGGTAACAAAACGGGTATTGGCTTGACATCCGGATATGCCAAGGCCGTTTGCACTTTGGTCATCGCCTTTGTTCTCAACTGGATCTACTCCAGCGGCGATGGCAGCATTCAGGCGACTCATCCGATTCGACGGTCTGCTTGGACGGCTTTTGGCTTCTTCCTCCTTCACTTGCCACTCGCGGCCTCGTTCCTCATCGGTGGCCATGTTGCGGCGGCCAGCACGGGGGTGGAAGAGTTTGAAGATGGTCAGCGCTGGCTTCTTGGAGGAGGACTGGGAGTTGGCATGTTTTGCCTGTGGGTGTACGGGATGCTATATCGAGTTGAAGGAGAGTGCGATCTCTTCCTAACCCAGGTTCCGCGTATCGGCATGAGGTTAGTTGTGGCCATCATCCTCATCGTCTTGCCCGAGTCGCACGATCATCTCAACGCCGAGGACTTTATGTTTGTCATCATGGCTTTGTTCGGCTTCTTATTGATCTGGGAGACCATTGGTGGATTATCCAAAACATCCAAGCTCTTTGAGCCTTGGAATGAGAGGTTCCCGCCGCAAGAGGAGGAGGACACGGAGAGCTTGGCGAACTAGAGGTACAAAAGACAAGATGGTGTTGTTAATGAGCGGGGAGATGCACACAGGGTTTGTCAGTAGATGGTGTCTTGGCTATTTGGGAGTAAAGTATGCATAAAATAACGCGAACACGAGATATACCTAGGTAGTTGAATCAAGCAATTGAAAGCTCGGTGTTTACCCAATAAGGATCTGGCGTATTCTGCTGGGGCACAGACTTGCATTTGACGTTGGCAGTCATGAGGATGCACTGCCACGATGAGTAACTACCTCGAAACTTTGTGTTTGAGCTGAAAGCTGATGGAAGCTTCCATGAAAGAAGCCGAGGCATCGATGGCTGAACGTCATCGCCACTAGTCGTCATCTGTGGCGCATGCTTTGTATCAAGCATCATTCCAAATTGCTAGCCGAGAGAAATTCGATGGCTGTGAAGAAGAGTGATTCCAAAATCCAAAGTCTGTGAGGCAGCCCAATGTTGTACCGTGGTAGACGGGTAAAGCCAAGAGAAAGAAGGCAGTGTTTGTGAGGAGTCTAGGACGTATTCACCCAGATGACCCTGTCATAAATCATGTACCTCTGGACCCATTTACATGCAGTCACCATGCGAAATGCGCAGAACAAGTACATGCAGGGACGACATCTTGGCATCAACTGACCAATGTCTCTACTGCTGAATGAACAAACACAACTCTACAGCTCATGGCCTCACAACGAGGGGCTTTGGACTCTTCTCGTTTCTTCAATACAGGGTCTCATGCAAGGCTTGGGTACAGTAGATGCCGGAGACCCGAAAGGAGGCTGTGCGACTTTTCCCTAACTGCAACCCGATGTTCTCGAACCAATGGCGTCACCTGCGCCGCGCGCGTTGCGTGCGCTGGGGGGCGATCGGGCAGGTCGGGGTCCGGGTGGTGATTGCCCCTCCTTCGAATCGTTCAAGGTGGCGCGGGGTGGGTATCAGGAAGGCGCGAAGCTGTAGCAAGAAAGGTCACAGGTGGTAGTGGTAGTGGCAGTGGCAGGTGCCCATCACGCCAAGGGGAAACGCTGACGACGAAGGAGGAGGCAATCGCTTTAAAAGGCCAGCGGAGCCGACGGTCCTTTTAGGTTCCTTCCTTGCACGAACGATTCCGTGATTCATTGTCAAACAATACTTTTCCCTCATTCACCTTTATCCTACAGGTACCTACCTATTACCTCTAGTACCTAAACCTACATCATCGACTCTCCCTCATCTGAGTCCTCAATCGCCACGAGAATCCATCTCCAAAGTCTCCCTTCGCATCATCTCTTCCATGGACGACTTTGCTCCTCCAACTGGCCCACCCCCGCCCAAGGCCCCCGAGGTCCCTGCCGGATGGGCCGTGCGATGGAACGACCAATACAAGGAATGGTGAGTTCCCAACCTGCATCCTTCGTTGCGCATCCCTATCCTAACTTGCGCCTCCCACAGGTTCTACGTCAACATCTACACCAAACAGTCCCAATGGGAGAAACCTACCGCTCCCGTCTTCCCCATCGGTGAGGATGCGCCCGCGGGCCCTCCTCCCGGATATCAGCCCGGCGACGGCCCTGTACCGACAGACACAAAAAAGAACCCCTATGACGACCAGCGCAACCAGACAATCGGCGGCCCCTCTTCTACCGAGGAAGATGATGCTAAGCTTGCAGCCAAACTCCAGGCCGAGGAGGATGCGCGCGCTCGTGGTGGCCCCGGTGGCCCTGATGTCCCTGCTGGATACGGCGGCTCAAATAGCCCTTTTCCTCAAAACAACAGCCCTTTTCCTCAGAGCAACAGTCCTTATCCCCAGCAGTCTGGCAGTCCCTATCCTGCAGAACTTCCCCCGAGGGAGAGGAGTAAGAGCGGTGGTGGCTTCCTAGGCAAACTGCTGGGCAAGGGCAAGCAGATGGCCGGAGGCCATCAAAGCGGTTCTCATGGTGGCGGCTATGGAGGTGGTTACCAACAACAGCAGCAGTATTACGGCCAACAACCCCAAGGCTATCCTGGACAGGGTCCTCCCATGGGCTACGGCGCTCAGCCTCATTACGGCCAACAAGGCTATGGCGCACCCGGTGGATATGGTGGTTATGGTGGTGCTCCTGGCTACGGCGGTGGTTATGGAGGTGGTCACGGCGGCGGCTTTGGCGGCGGCCACAGTGCTGGTCGCAAGCCTGGCGGTGGCGGTATGGGAATGCTGGGTGGTGCTGCTCTCGGTGCCGGTGCCGGTATTCTCGGTGGCGCCCTGATTGCGGATGCCATCAACGACAATGATCAAGAGGCATACCAGGATGGTTTCGGTAAGTCATGGCATCAATCCTGCATACTCATGACAGTGCTAACTCGAGAGTAGAAGATGGAGCCGACTATGGTGATGATGGTGGTGACTTTGGTGACTAAGGCAACAGCTGGGATGTTCTCATCCAGTCGCCCTCATGCGATTTACTTATGAACATGGTTCACTGGAGTCTCGGATTGGCGGTTGGCTGGGCTTTTTACTTGATGAATGCACGATGGGTAGCAGGGATTTGGGTATCGGATTGAGCATATGACTGAACCACACCAAAGGGTTTGACTAGAATTCCAGAAGAATTGGCCTCTATTGGGCAGAACCATTGACTCAAGTAGAATGGCCAAATTGATTAATGATATCCATTGCCAAGGGCATCCAACGCCCGTTGTTTCATAATCTCTATCATGTCATATACTGTAAGCCTCTCAACAACACCACCTCTTAGTTTTGTGTCATTGTGATCAGGTTGCAATTCCGAACTTGTATGTGCATTACCGTCTCACGCCCTGGTTCTTTGAAGAGCCACCGCCGTTGTTGCCGCTGTTTCCGCCCTCCTTCTTGTTGGAGCCAGCGAGATAGGCAGCCATGTCGAAGTTGGTGAGAGGGTTCTCTCCAGAAGCCTGCGCATTCATGACGGCGTTCATGGGGCTGTTCTTCTGCTGAGCTTCAAACTCGGCGCGCAGCTCGGGGTCCACTAAGTAGCTCGTTAGCTTTTGTTCAAGTGTTGAAGTAGTAGGGGCCACGTACTGCTGTCCATGAGTTTGGGCATGCCGACCAGCAGAACCAGACTGACAAGAGCCATGAGAATCATGGGGTTCTTGAGGATAGAAAAGACAGAGACTAGAGTCACATGGTCAGCATCTTTTTCAAACCGCGAGCAACCGGATATCCATCACTCACACTGCGGCCTCTCCATAAAGTAGTTCTTGGAGCCAATCGCCCTAACCTCGAATCCCCTCCCCTTGCTCCCCTCCTTCACAGGTACAACCTCACCTTTGTTTCCCCAGTCATTTCCGCGGAAAGTCTCCCACGCCTGGACAACGTCGTGCTCAGCGCCTTCAACGACCTGGATGTCGATGCGCAGCGGGTGGAACGCGTCGGTCGGGGCGTGGATATCAGCGAGGTACGACCCGGGAGTGACGTTTCGGAACACAAAGGTGTTGGCTGAAGATAGCGGCGCAGAGTAGTGCACGCCTGAGGAGGAGAGCGTCGCGTGGGTGGACGGCGGGAGGGTGAAGGGGTTCGGCTTCGCGGGGAGGTACAGCGTAAGAGGATCAGAGGCGAGAGCGAAAGAGAAGAGGGTGCTGAGGAGAGCGCCGGTTTCGGGGACCGTGAGACGCATCTTGAAGGGTGGGAATTGGCGATGAGGTTTTTGAGTGGTGGTGGTGGTGATGTGTGGAGGTTGGACAGAGTGACGTTTGTGGTGTTGAGAGTTGTTGCTAGAGACCAAGTGGGCCAATCAGATTGAGTCTAGGCGGGTGTGGCTTGTAGCTCCTTGTCAGCCTCAATTCGAGCACGCAACGTTGGCGTCAACTTTTCATCCGATAATTCACATCTAAGACTCAATTGGTTTATACATTGTGTAATTGATAAAAATATGCGCTTTCTTCATTCAACTATCTTCATTGGGTATTTAATCAAAATCATCCCCGTCGCTCTTTATCCAAACAGCAAACTCTACTCTATCTAACCCTCTCTAAGGAGCAGTGGGGGCTTCAGCCTCCTTGCCCTCAGGGACAACAACCTTTTGCTGCTCACCCTTGGTAGTAGCGTCGGCGGCAGCCTTGAAGGACTGCTCAAAGTCGGCAATGATGTCGTCAATGTGCTCGATACCAACAGAGATTCGGATCAGGTCCTAAAGGAAACTGATTAGCAAGGAACAATTACTAAAGGATCAGGGTTACTCACCTCGGTGACACCAGAGCTGAGCTTCTCCTCATCAGAGAGCTGCTCGTGTGTGGTGCTCCAGGGGTGGATGGCAAGGGTCTTGGCATCACCGACGTTGGCAAGGTTGGAGATGAGCTTGAAGCCGTCGACAACCTCGCTGCCAGCACCGCCGCCCTTGACGCCGAAGCTGAGAACACCACCGAAGCCTCGCTTGAGGTACTTCTTGGCCGTCTCGTGGTAGGGATGGCTCTCAAGTCCGGGGTACGAGACCCAGCTGACGTAGGGGCTGGCTTCGAGGTACTTTGCGAGGGCAAGGGCGTTCTGAGCGTGGCGCTCAGCACGCAGGCTCAGGGTCTCAGTTCCGAGGAGGAGCTGCTGAGCAGCAAAGGGGTTGAGGGTGGCACCGAGGTCACGGAGGATCTCGACTCGGGCGCGGATGATAAAGGTGGCGGCGCCGAAAGTCTCGTAGAACTTGAGGCCGTGGTAGCCGTCAGAGGGCTCGTGGAACTGGGGGAAGCGGTCTTTGTGCTTGAGCCAGTCAAACTTGCCAGAGTCGACGACGACACCGCCGATGGTGGTGCCGTGGCCGCCGATCCACTTGGTGGCAGAGTGGACGACAATATCGGCGCCGTGGTCGATGGGGCGGATGTAGTAACCGCCAGCACCAAAGGTGTTGTCAACCTGAGATAGGTGAGCCAATGGCAAGTAAGTAACTTTGGGTTCAACTTACAACGACGGGAACACCCTTCTCGTGGGCAACCTTGGCAATAGCCTCCAGATCAGGAACGTTGTACTTGGGGTTACCAATGCTCTCAAGGTAGACAGCCTTTGTCTTGTCATCGATGGCAGCAGCAATGTCCTCGGGCTTGTCGCCGTTGACAAACTTGGTCTCGATGCCCAGACGGGGGAGGAAGACCTTGAGCTGGTTGTATGTGCCACCGTAGAGGTTCGAGGTGGAGACGATGTTGTCGCCGGCGTGGGCCAGAGTGTTGATGGCGATGAACTGAGCGGCCTGGCCGGAGGCGGCGGCGAGGGCGGCGGCACCACCCTCGAGAGCAGCTATTCTCTTTTCAAAGACATCGACCGTAGGCTGTTGTGCTTGTTAGGCAATAGCTTGTACAGTGAAACCGAGGTAACTCACGTTCATGATACGGCTGTAGATGTTGCCAAACTCCTTGAGGCCGAAAAGCCTCGCGCCGTGAGCCGAGTCATCAAAGACGTAGCTCTATTCAAAGCCATTGTCAGCATTAAATTACCGAGCCAAGAGGTTTGTTGAAGCCGACGACCCGAAAGCTGTATGAATCGGGGAGGTGGGTCATTTGTGGGGGAGGCACAAAAGCAACAACAGACGTACAGTCGTGGCGTAGATGGGGACGGCTCGAGAGTGGGTAGTAGGATCGGGCTCAGCGCTAGAGAAGATGTTAGTTGAAGTAATTCAAGATGATAATTGTAGAGATCAAAAGTTGTGTAAAGGTGATGGTGAAAATGGTGGGATGTAAATACCCCGCCATCAGGGTGAGGTTGTGTTGGAACGTACCCCGCGTGGAGCTGCAGCGTCTCAAAGTTCTTGCTCAAGTCGGACATGATGAGAGGAGGAATGTATGGAGCAACGGTAGAGTGAAAAGAAAGTTGACAAGTCTAGAAAAGTCTAAACAAGAAGAGTCAAGAGAGAGAAGGAGGGGAGAACAAAAGGGATCAGCCTACAGATCGTGTCATTGCTCTTTATACTTTGCTCAACACCCCTCCCTCAGAAGAAAAAGACGCCTTGCGCGGAACAAAGCAAGTTATGCGCTCAACAATAGGTCTTGCATATTCCAGCTCAACCACCAAGCCCAGTTCTGTGCCCCCTCGTAGACACTCGTCCCCCTGCCTCGGACAAGCAGAATTGACAACAGACAAGACAAATCCCACGACCTCTTGCGGTGTCACCATCCAATCCAAGCCCCTTCGGGCATGGCCTGTGGGGAAGGTCTCGGAGCACGCCATCGACGACAAGTCCCATGGCGTCGATTCTGGCACCAGCTCGAGGTCGCCTCATTCGCTGTGCCCCCCCGCGAACAACTGCCCATGAGCCTCTCATGGCTTCATTTTCACTGTCCTGTCCGGTTGCCGGAGCCATGGTGCAATTCCGACGGCCGAACCGAGGGCCGTTTACTTGCTGCGCCGTGTGCCTGGGTTACTCAAGTTTAATCGGACATCTTACGTTTCAATAATATTGAGACTTGTTGTGCTTCCGTTGTCGGGCATGTGGCATGTGGGCTTTTTACAACTCCATCATGTCGATCCAAGTGCGGGGCAAGTTGACAAGTTTGACCGAGGGAACATGAAAAAGTTGAAGAACGAGGGGCACATAAGCGGGATGAAAAGCTCCCAAAGAGGCAACTCGAGGGTTGCATTCTACAAGATGGAAGAAATAGAGAAGTTCTCAGTGGACAGTGTATACGACTCACCTAATATCTCGATAAGGAATGCATCATGATGGATGGATGGGCGAATAAACCTCCCCCATGGCACAACGAGATCATCCCCAGCTCCTACATCGACCTGCAGCATTACCCAATGCCACTGCAGGATGGTGCAATTGGTTTCCATGCTGCCATCCCGCTCTTGTCCCCCACCATCAAAGACTCCCTCCGAGTCCCATCCAAGACATGAGGCGTCGACACCGCGAACCGGAGCTCTCGGTGACACCCACCCCTGGAAGACAACACAACTAAGCCCAATAGGCTGTGAGTTCTTAAATTGAGAACCTCCCTCGTACGACCTTGAACCCTCGTCCCTCTTTCGATTCTGGCCTACGCACGAGCCTCACCTCACCTCACATCCCGGGCTCTCCTCGGTCTGGAACTCGACATGATTGTATAATGTCGTGATTGCGATATTTCGACAATGATCTCAAGGTCCATTTGAAAATGAGCCAGCCCGGCTGCTCTTCAGATCCGACTGCCTCTCTCGGACCATTCTAGCTATTCAGCCATGCTATGAGCTACCAAAGAAACGCCTGGTGCCGCCACCACCATCCCCTCCATGAGGGGATAAAAAACAAGAACTCCTGAAGGTATTGTCCTTGCCGATACACCTTTAACAATTTGGAGAGGCCATACCGGAATGGCGCCGTCTATCTCCTTGCAAATCAATCAATACCTGAACGCCTGTCATGAATCCAATCTCCCATCCTTTACGCATTTCCCGTGTTGTATCGAAAGCATCCGAGCAGCCAGCATTCAGCTGAATAACTGCCGAGGTCGGACATCGCTCCACGTCTTGAATACTGTAATTTGGCCCTAACTTTGATATTTTAGGCCTCTTCAAACTTGTCCCATTTCCCGGCTGTTGTCGGCGTACTTGGGTTGCTCAAAGCCCCTTTTAAACATGTCCTTGGCCATGAGGATTGTGGTGGCGATCCACGTCGTGAACTGGCCCGCGGCAACCACGGCGTCGGCCCGGCCGGAAGAGCAGACGGCTCCCTCGCAAAAGACCAGCGACCCGATGTAGATGGCGATCGCAATGAAACCAGCAAAGTATAAAGCGGCGTTGACGGATTCGACCCCGATGGCGACGTATTGTTGTGAGAAGCGAGGTGCGAAACGAGGTACCAGTTCTAGGTACACGAGCGAGAATACCGAGAGGATCGATGATACGAGGAGGTAGTTGAAGGGTGATGGTATGGGCGTTTTGTTGCTCATGAACCAGTTGATAACTGCACACGGAATAGGTTAGCTACACGAGATCTCGGTCGATAAGGGCCCGTCGAGTCTTGACGCCAAGAACTCAGCTCGGCTCAGCTCTCGATAAAAAAAAACCATGGTCTCAAATGAGGCCATTTGACTCTCTCAACGCACCATAGCTGCTAAGACTGATGCTGGCTAAAGACAAGGCCAGCTGCAAAACTCGCAGAGATATGAGGACGACTCGACCCATGATGAAATAAACTCTCGGCAGCGCAACAGGGGCGGGATAGCCGGGAGGAGGGACTAATAAGACACGCGAGGGGAATCTCTCCAAGAAAGAAAAAAGGATGGACAAGTTTCCGAAAAATAATTATCGAACAGACTTTCGCCCAGAAGGAGGAAGAAGGTCCCAAGAACGACGGCAACGTGGGAATCTATATAAACCAGGCCGGCTGACGAGACATCTCTCGGGCGATGTGGGGTCCGCGGGCGATCCAAGGGAGATGCTCCGAGAGAGAGACCGTGGACCCGTCAGGGAACCGCAAGGGGCCACTAAAAGGAAAAGGGAGTGAAAAAGAGAAAAAGAGATAAAAAGAGCTTTTTTTAGTTGCCGAAGGAAACGTCGATCGGAAACAAGCAGGATGGTGGCATTAAAAATGCCCTTTTCCGGGTATCACCAGAGGGGGGGCGCATAGTATTGCAACGACAACCAGCGCCGTCTTGAGTCGTGTTTTCTGACCCGCCGAGGCAACGCTGAGACGGGGCACGTCAATGTGAAACGGCCCTGTTTCTAGGGGCAGGTCCTCTTTTTAATGCGAGGTGAGGGTCCCTTATCGAGGTGACGCTCTTGGGCATCACCCATACCCATCCCATCGGCAGATGCTAGAAACCCGTGTTAAGTCGGCATCCAGGGGCATCATCAATGCGCTTGCTCATGCGAACCCGCATCAGGACCAATGACCCTTTTTCTGTCAATGCTGAGCAAACTCACTCAGGTAGAGCGACCGGACACAAGGGGGATCCCTACCTCGCGCGGCCCATTCGGATTCGTAGGATTTCCCAACCAACCAGCCAGGCCGTCTTCGACGACGGGCGTGCCAGCGCTGTGAGACGGTTTGCTGCAGATCTCGTAGATCCCCTATAGCCTCGCATACCGTACCGTGGTTGAAAGGCGTGAGAATCCGTGATATGAGCTGGGAGATGACCGGACGGAGGCTCAAACAGAAATGTGACGGGAATGCAGTCACAGCGGCCGACCAGGCTTTGCGACTGGCACTACTGCTGCTGATCATCCAGCCCTAGCTGGGTGCTGGCCAAATGACGGGCCACTCGGCCAATAATGTTTGCGACATGCCTACAGGCATCTCGAGTGAAGAACGGGAGTTGAGAGTTGAGATGCAACATCGGCAGCCGTGTCTTCGGCTGTTGGTTCTTCAAAGACAGACATACGTAGCTGGCGAGATTGCGATGATGATCCGCATCAGCAGCCGCTTGGCATGCTGTGAGTGTCCGTGAGAGGGCCGGGAATGCCAGCACGTGCAGGCAACATCTCACGTGCCTGAGCTCGACTCGACTCGGGACGGGAAGCAAGAAAAGCGTGACCTGGCTGTGTTTTCCGTCTGCGTTGAAGAGGTGACGTCGTAGTCCCAAAGCTTGAGTATGAGCAACGGCCCTTTCATCTGGTGACAGGCGAATCACAAACTTTGTGAACCGCATATTCGTAGTTCGACCAACGATATCGTGTCTCGAGTTGATCAACAATATTGAACAACATGGCTGTCTTGGAACATTCGCTCCTTGAGCGTATATAACCCGTCATGATGTTGAACAAGACAGAGGCATGGATTTCGTTGCCGAAGGATACGCGATTGGCCTGTGGTAAGATTCTGGGGAGACGAAGAAATCATGTCATGAACCAGACAAGAAAAGAAAAAAAAAGAGGAGACGAAGCTGTGAAAGCTGGGGGAGATGGACAAGGGCATGTAGCGACAACCAGTTAAAACCAGACAGATTGTCGAGATGGATGGGATCACGAGGAAAGCCAAGCCATCAGATGAACTTGACAACAAGTGCTCAGCCACGTTGAATGAGATATTAGGCAAGAGAAAGAAATTCACATGAAACCGAACAAGACCCGACATGCCTTCACTCAAGGGGGGGGACACGCCAGGCTCTTTAAGACAAAGAACCCATCTTCTGTTTGGACAGAAAGACGGGAGAGGCATCAACTCCACTCCCTAGCGTCCGTTACGACCGACTCGGGGGAGGGGGATGGGGATGGGGAGCAACAGAGTGCTGACGGTACGCATGTGCCACAGCATGTGTTGTACGACCCCATGTAAATTCATTCACACAATATGTCTTGTCTCTGGACGGGCAATCTTGTGTTTTTTTCTTCTGCATAAAAGCCACTGCGTCCACAGCGTGCGCAAGTGCTGACAAGCTGAAAAAAAAGAAGGGTGATACTGCGCTCTGAATGTCGTTGAGGGACTCAACAGCAGGCTGCAGTGAGACTTGACGGGATACATACAGCGCTCACTCTGCGGTCATGGTCATGGCAATCTCATGGCCACCACCCCCGCATTCTCTCCATGACATGGACCCTCGCCAAGTCGTCTAGGGCGATTCAGTCCGGTGCCCAATCTTGCCATCTCCAGGTTCATGGCCTCGGCTCAACCCTCTGAATAAGGTCATGCCCGAGTTCCTTTTCCACGCTGACGACGGTTTATTGTCCTGTTCGCGACAAACCAGACCGAACCAGCCACTCACAGCGAGGCCAATTTCCCCATGCTTCGGGGCCATGCAAAGGCCCGGCGGTCCCTCTCCCCCCCCAGAAGATGGATGGAGAAAAAATCTGGGGCTGCCGAGGCACATGGGGTTTTAAAGGTAGCGGCGCCTCGGTCCCTCCTCTCCCAAGCTTGACGTTGGAACCTTGGAAAGCCGATGGCGTCGTCGGGGGCTTAGGCTTGGGGTGTCCATTAGTACCAGTACCGTACAAAGTAGATCTGCTCAAAAACCCAATCCCCTCCGATCCAGTCGCCGTCGTCTGTTTCTCTCTTGTTATTTCTCCCCGTGCCTCTCTCTCATCCCTTGCTTTGCTTCGCTTGCTTGTCTGGGTTGTCCACGACAGTAGAACCTTGTTCCAAGGCATCATCGCCATTGTCCTTTTTGCTTCCTTCAAGTAAAAGACAAGCTCCTCCCCGCGTCCCCAGACTCTCTCATCGGCTCCGTGTCTTGTCTTGTCTCGTCTCGTCTCCCCGGGCCGCTTCCTCCGATTCACTCCCCAGCGTCGACCCGTCGACGACTCGCCCTCGCGACAATGGCGCCTCAGACAGAAAAGGACTATGCCGCCTTGTACAAGAAGCTCTCGACTCCTCCGCCCCCGGGCTCCCCCTACGGACTTCCGATCCCCGGCTCCGAGCGACCCAACCGATCCCCCGTCTACCGGCACTGGGCCGTCCGCGACGGTCCTCTCATCACCACGCTAGAACCCGAGGTGCACTCGACACACGACGTCTTTGAGAGGAGCGCCCGGAAGTGGCCCAATGCCAACTGTCTCGGCACCCGTCACTGGAACCCAGCTTCTCAGAAGTGGGAGGACACGTACGACTGGCTCAGCTACGCCCAGGCTGACGCCCGGAGGAAGAACTTTGGCGCCGGCATTGTCGAGATCCACAAGGCCATCAACTACCCGGCCGACAAGTACGGCGTGGCACTATGGTCGCAGAACCGCGCCGAGTGGCAGATAACTGGTAAGACCTCCCTCGGGCCGCCATGCGCGTGTAAGTAAAGTCTGACATGTCTTGGTAGACCTCGGTCTTGTTTCTCAGTCTCTCTACTCGGTTTCCCTCTATGAGACACTCGGCCCTGACACAACCGAGTACATCATCAACCATGCCGAAGTCGCCTGTGTGGTCTGTTCTCTGCCTCATATCCCCGTCCTCCTCAAGATGTCGCCTCGCCTGCCCGGGCTGAAGCTCATCGTGTCTCTGGACCCTCTGGACCACGGCGAGCTGGCTTCCCACACCAAGGCTGCGGTTCTCAACGAAATCGCCTCTCAACATGGTATCCAGATTTACTCCATGGCTCAGGTTGAGGAGATTGGTGCGAGGTCTGGACTTGCGCCTCGAGGCCCGAACCCCGATGACGTGTGCACCATCAACTACACCTCTGGAACCACCGGTAACCCCAAGGGTGTCTTGATCACACACAAGAATGCCGTGGCTGCTATTGCGGGTGGAAGAACCAACGGAAACGTTGGTCCAGGTCCCAAGGACGTTCACATGTCGTATCTGCCTCTTGCGCATATCTACGGCCGTCTTATCGATCAGATCGCCTTTGCTGAAGGTTCAGCCGTTGGCTTTTTCCGAGGCGATATCCTCGGTCTGGTTGACGATATGAAGATTCTCCAACCCACTGGCTTCATTTCTGTACCACGACTCTTCAACCGCTTCAACTCGGCTATTCGAACCGCCACCATTGAGGCTGACGGTGTCCGAGGCGCCTTGTCTCGGCGTGTCATCAACACCAAGAAGGCAAACATGCGAGCCGCACCTGGCAAGGCCTCCAACTCACACTTCCTATACGATAGAATCTGGACGCCCAAGGTCAAGGCCGCAGTTGGCCTCCAAAAGGTTCACAGCATGGTCAGCGGCAGCGCTCAGCTCGACCCCGATGTTCAGGAGTTCCTCCGCGCTGCCTTTGGCAACCACTTTGCCCAGGGATTCGGCATGACGGAAACGTATGCCGTTGGAACCATCCAGGCACGAGGCGATTATACCCTCGGCAACATCGGTGGCCCCATGTGCTGCGTTGAAGTTTGCCTCGAGTCGGTGCCAGAGTTTGATTACACGGTGGATGACAAGCCCAACCCTCGCGGTGAGCTCCTACTACGCGGACCCGTCATCTTCCGCGAGTATTACAAGAACGAGGAGGAGACCACCAAGACGCTCGATCCCGACGGATGGTTCCACAGTGGTGATATCGCCGAGGTCGACAAGATGGGCCGCTTCAAGATCATCGACCGTAAGAAGAACGTGCTGAAGCTGGCCCAGGGCGAGTACATCTCCCCCGAGCGCATCGAAAACGTCTACATGGGCAGCACCAACCTCATCACCATGGCCTACGTCCATGGTGACGGTACCCAGTCGTCTCTGGTCGGAATCTTTGGTATCGATGTCGAGAACTTTGCGCCGTTCGCCAGCAAGATCCTGCAGGAGACCATCGCCCCCAGCGAGGTTGCAGCTCTCCGGGACGCGGCTAACAACCCCAAGGTGAAGGCCAAGTTCCTCAAGCTCCTGGATGACATTGGTCGCAAGCACAAGTTTAATAGCTTTGAGAAAGTGCGCAATGTCCATCTCGAGATTGACCCCTTTACTATCGA